CTAATTTTCTGTATTTAGTAGAGATGGGGTTTCACTATGTTGATCAAGCTGGTCTGGAACTGCTGACCTCAGGTGATCCACCCACCTTGACCTCCCAAAGTGCTGGGATTACAGGTGTGCTTCACCATGCCCGGCCCAATAATTTTTTTAAATGAACAAAGCATCAACAAGCTGTGGAACAACTTCAAGCAGTGAGATACACATGCAATAGGAGTCTCCAAAGGGAATAAGAGATCAAATTTGAAGAAATAATAACCTCAAAAGTGTCCAAATTTGGCTGTGCACGGTGGCTCATGCCTTTAATCCTAGCACTTTGGGAGAATGACAGGGGGAGATTGCCTGAGCTCAGGAGTTCAAGACCAGCCTGGGCAACACAGTGAAACCCCGTCTCTAATAAAAATATAAAAAATTAGCCAGGCATGGAGGCATGCGCCTGTAATTCCAGCTACTCAGGAGGTTGAGGCAGGAGAATTGCTTGAACCCAGGAGGCAGACGTTGCAGTGAGCCGAGACTGAGCCACTACACTCCGGCCTGGGCAACAAAGCGAGACTCCGTCTCAAAAAAAAAAAAAGGCCAAATTTGATAAAAATTATATGTCTGCAAATTCAAGAACTCAACAAAACCCACACACTAATAAGATGAACTACACCAAAACACATCATAATTTGCTCAAAAACAGTGATAAAGAGAAAATCTTTTTTTTTTTTTTCTTTTTTTGCGATGGAGTTTTGCTCTTGTTGCCCAGGCTGGAGTATAGTAACACGATCTTGGCTCACTACAACCGACGCCTCCCAGGTTCAAGCGATTCTCCTGCCTCAGCCTCCCAAGTAACTGGGATTACAGGCATGCACCACCATGCCCGGCTAATTTTGTATTTTAGTAGAGACGGGGTTTCGCCATGTTGGACAGGCTGGTTTCGAACTCCCAACCTCAAGTGATCCACCCACCTCGGCCTCCAAAAGTGCTAGGATTACAGGCATGCACCACCATGCCCGGCTAATTTTGTATTTTAGTAGAGACGGGGTTTCGCCATGTTGGACAGGCTGGTTTCGAACTCCCAACCTCAAGTGATCCACCCACCTCGGCCTCCCAAAGTGCTAGGATTACAGGCTTGAGCAACCATGCCCGGCCAAGAGAAAATCTTAAAAGCAACCAGACATACCCCATAAATATATATATATACCTATGTACCAACAAAAGAAGTTTTTAATTAAAAAAAAAAAACAGACAAAAAAGTTGTATTAGGTATGACAGAACAAAAATAAAAATAACAGTATATTTCTTGTCAGAAACAATGTTAGCAGGCTGGGCACAGTGGCTCATTCCTATAATCCCAGCATTTTGGGAGGCCAAGGCAGGTGGATAACCTGAGGTCAGGAGATCGAGACCAGCCTAACCAATATGGTGAAACCCCCATCTCTACTGAAAATACAAAAATTAGCTGAGTGTGGTAGCATGTGCCTATAGTCCCAGCAACTTGGAAGGCTGAGACAGGAAAATTGCTTGAACCCAGGAGGCAGAGGGTGCAGTGAGTCAAGACTGTATCACTGCACTCTAGCCTGAGCGACAGAGCAGACTCCATCTCAAAAAAATAAAGAAAGAAACAACATCAGCAAAAAGGCAATGGGCAACACCTTTTAAGTACTAAGAAAAATGTGTCGGCCTAGAATTCTATACTCAGAGTAAATGTTTTCCAAAAGAAAGGCAAAATAAAGATTTTTCAGACGTATGAAGGCTAAAAGAATTCAGTACCAACAGATCAGTGTTTCAAAATATAAAAGGAAGTCCTTCAGGCTAAAGGAAAAATTATACCAGACAAATTGAAAAATAAAGAGCAAGGCTAATGGTAACTATATGGGTAACACATGACTCTTTAATTTAAATGTCTTTAAGAAAACAGACTATTCCAGACTGGGCAACACAGCAAAACCCCATCTCTATAAAAATATAAAAAATTAGTTGGGCATGGTGGAGCAATGCCTGTGGTTCCAGCTGTTCAGGAGGCTGAGGTGGGAAGATCACCTGACCCTGGGAAGTCGAGGCTATAGTGCGCCATGATCATGTCACTGAGCTCCAGTCTGGGAGACAGAGGAGAACTTATCTCAAAAAATAAAATAAAAATAAGAGACCATAGCACAAAAGCTGGGAGGAAAGAAATGGAATGTCAATTTTATCTCAATAAAAATTATTTTAAAAATTAAAAGACTAGGCCGGGCACAGTGGCTCATGACTGTAATCCCAGCACTTTGGGAGGCCAAGATGGGTGGATCATGAGGTCAGGAGTTCAAGACCAGCCTGGTCAAGATGGTGAAACCTTGTCTCTACTGAAAATACAAAAATTAGCCAGGTGCGGTGGCATATGCCTGTAATCCCAGCTACTTGGGAGGCTGAGGTAGGAGAATGACTTGAACCCAGGAGGCGGAGGTTGCAGTAGCCAAGATCGCACTACTGCACTCTAGCCTGGACAACAAGAATGAGACTCTGTCTCAAAAAAAAAAATTTAAATGTCAATATTATAACTCCTTATTATCCTATATTCTCCTCTTTCTTTTTTTTTATTTTTTTAATTTTTATTTTTTTTGAGACAGGGTCTCACTCTTGACCTCCTGGGCTCAGGTCATCCTCCCACCTCAGCCTTCCCAAGTAGCTGGGATTACAGGTGAATGCCATCACACTCAGCTCATTTTATTTCTTGTAGAGATGGAGTCTCACTATATTGCACAGGCTGGTCTCAAACTCTTGGCCTCAACTGATTCTCCCACCTCAGCCTCCCAAAGTGCTGGGATTATAGGCGTGAGCCACCGCACCTGACCTATTCTCTTTTTCCTAAAAAGTTCCTGGCCAGGTGTGGTGGCTCACACCTGTAATCCCAGCACTTCGAGAGGCTGAGGATCACCTGAGGTCAGGAGTTCAAGAACAGCCTGGCCAAGATGAGGAAACCCCATGTTAACTACAAATACAAAAATTAGCTAAACGTGGTGGTGCACGCTTGTAATACCAACTACTCGGGAGGCTGAGGCAGGAGAATTCCCTAAATCCGGGAGGTGGAGGTGGAGAGTGCAGTGAACTGAGATCGCGCCATTGCACATTAGCCTGAGTGACAGAGCGGGACTCCATCTCAAAACAAAACAAAACAAAAAAAAAAGCACAAATCACAAATAGCTGTGAAAGCATACTTGTAGGATGGAGTTAAAACAGATGAAATGAATGAAAGAAGTCTGTATAAGAAACACATGACAGCCGGGTGCGGTCGCTCATGCTTGTAATCCCAGCACTTTGGGAGGCCAAAGTGAACGGATCATGAGGTCAGGAGTTAGAGGCCAGCCTGACTATCATGGTGAAACCCTATCTCTACTAAAAATACAAAAATTAGCTGGGCATGGTGGCATGCGTCTGTAATCCCAGCTACTCAGGAGGCTGAGGCAAGAGAATCACTTGAACCCAGGAAGCAGAGGTTGCAGTGAGCCAAGATCGGGCCACTACACTCCAGCCTGGGTGACAGAGCAAGACTCTGTCTCAAAAAAAAAAGAAAGAAAGAAAGAAACACATGACTTACCTGACTTATGACTTACTCCTCTCGACGCTTACAGAGAAATCTGTGAAGAGGCTCTATGGCCATACCTTATCTGGCATGGATGAGACTGGGGTTAAGAAGCCCTACTGATAGCTGGGGGTAGTAAATGCCCACTTTCTGAACAGTGAGATCACCAATGTGATTTCCCTGCTCAACTCCCAGAACAAAAGCAGCCAGGTCTGTGCCACTCATACAGGAATAAGGAAGTAAAGAGCAGAAGTGATAACAGGTAAGAATATCAGCCTCTGGGAAGTGAAGATGAGGCAGAGAGGAGAATAACATATATGACAGTTGCTTTCTGTTAGAGGACTTTCAGTATGACTTTTCACACTACATTCATGCATTTTTGAGGAATCTTAAAGACAATCATTATGTTTAAATCATTTGCTTTGATAAAAGGTTTTTGTTTTCACATCTTCTTTCCTTTGACTAAAAAAAATTTCAGAAAATTGCAGTTAATAAAAGGCACAGGCCGGGCACGGTGGCTCAAGCCTGTAATCCCAGCACTTTGGGAGGCCGAGACGGGTGGATCACGAGGTCAAGAGATCGAGACCATTCTGGTCAACATGGTGAAACCCCGTCTCTATTAAAAATACAAAAAAATAGCTGGGCACAGTGGCGTGTGCCTGTAATCCCAGCTACTCGGGAGGCTGAGGCAGGAGAATTGCCTGAACCCGGGAGGCGGAGGTTGCGGTGAGCCGAGATTGCGCCATAGCACTCCAGCCTGGGTAACAAGAGCGAAACTCCGTCTCAAAAAATAAAAATAAAAAATAAATAAATAAATAAATAAATAAAAGGCACAAACAAATCAACAGGTATATACCAGTGGAAAACACAATATAAAACTCAAAATGCCATCGGCTTCTTTAGTTGGTAAAGAACACAAAATGTAACAGACCGAACAGGCAGAAACAGTTTGCTTCAAACAAATTAAAAAGCTATGTGTTTTTCAAATTCTCCCCAAGTTGGATATACACACACCCACAAAAATAGTGTGTGAAGGAAAGCTTTCATACACAAGAAGTTGTAACCTGAATTATTCAAGGAAAAGCATGTTGAAATAGGAATTAACAGTAAGCCACAGATTAATAATTTTTTAATTAAATCTTAAAATCCTACATGGCTCTAAGCAATACAACATAAAGTACTGCTAAGTACAAAGGAAAAAGTCTGCACAGCTTTTAGCAAAAATGCTTTTCCAAAAAATTAAAATAATACAGTAACTTTTCATACCTGTGTCAGAAAATCCTATTTATCTACAACAGACTGAAATTTCAGGACAAAACAGAGACTTTTAACGTTAATTCTTACTTTACCCATTTTAAATTCTGTGATAAACGGTTTTTTAATTGGATTAACACAGTACATGCCAAAGTTCATATTGTGTAGCTGTTTTTGTTAATCTGTATGTCATTTTCATCCTTACCTTCTTCCCACCTGGCTTCACCACAGTGAAAACTTCACTCCAGATCTGAATCCCAGTGGTTTCTGGATCAGAACCCCCTCTCCATGAAAATCCTGTTAATGGTTCTTCTGGGTCACCCAACCAATTTGAACGGCCACTTTCCTTCTGCAGAAGAAGTAAGAAATTTCCATTAAATCTTAATTGAAAATTTTTTGCATCAAGGATAATCTATGAGCTTATTTTGCTTTTTTGAACATTAAAGTCTCACTTTTTACTTGAAATAAAATAATTCTATCTTACCTGAGAATATAAGTATCGTAGCATAAAATCCAGAATGAAAGACTTGCCCTTTCGGAAGGCACCAGCCACTGAAACCACCACCACATCAAGATCTCGGATGTGGTCCTGCAAGAGGATGCTGGCCAAGGCTTTCTCATCTAGCTCAAAGGAATGTTGTTCTTTCTGAACCAAAACAACCTGCACTGGTTCCGGCTTGCTGCTCTCCATGGCATCACCTATGTTCACATAGAGAAAAAAATTAGTGTCAAATTTTTAAAATATGTTTTTGAATGTGAGGAAAACAAAAACTTCTTAAACAGGGCACAGGGCCGGGCTCAGTGCTCATGCCTATAATCCCAGCATTTTGGGAAACCAAAGCAGGATATTACTTGAGGCTAGGAGTTTGAGACTACCCTCGGAAACAGTGAAACCCAGCTCTACAAAATTAAAAAAATTAGCAGCCGGGTGAGGTGGCTCACGCCTGTAATCCCAGCACTTTGGAAGGCCAACGCGGGCAGATCACCTGAGGTTGGGAGATTGAGACCAGCGTAGCCATTATGGTGAAACCCCGTCTCTACTCAAAATACAAAATTGGTCAGACGTGGTGCCGCATGCCTGTAATCCCAGCTTCTCGGGAGGCTGAGGCAGGAGAATCGCTTGAACCCAGTAGGCGGAGGTTGCAGTGAGCTGAGATCATGTCATTGCACTCCAGCCTGGGCGACAACAGCAAAACTCCATCTCAAAAAAAAAAAAAAAAAAAAGCCAGGCACAGTGGCTCATGCCTATAATCCCAGCACTTTGGCAGGCCGAGGCGGGTGGATCACGAGGTCAAGAGATCGAGACCATCCTGGCCAACATGGTGAAACCCCATCTCTACTAAAAATACCAAAAAAAAAAGTTTGCTGGGCATGGCAGTGCACACCTGTAGTCCCAGCTACTCAGGAGGCTGAGGCAGGAAAATTGGTTGAACCCAGGAGGTGGAGACTGCAGTGAGCTGAGATCGTGCCACAGCACTACAGCCTGGGCGACGGTGCAAGACTCCATCTCAAAAAAAAAAACATGTGTGTGATGGCTCATGCCTGTAACCCCAGCTCTTTGGGAGGCCAAAGCGAGTGGATCACCTGAGGTCAGGAGTTCAAGACTGGCCAAGATGGCAAAACCCTGTCTCTAATAAAAAATACAAAAATTAGCTGGACGCAGGTATCTATAACCCCAGCTACTTGGGAGGCTGAGACAGAAGAATCGCTTGAACCCAGGAGGTGGAGGTTGCAGCGAGCCGAGATTGCGCCATTGCACTCCTGTAGTGGTGTACACCTGTAGTCCTAGCTACTTGGGAAGCTAAGGCAAGAAGACTGCTTGAACCCAGGGTTTTGAGGTTACAGTGAGCTATGATCGCACCACTGTACTCCAGCCTAGGTGACAAAACAAAACAAAACAAAATGAACACAAAAGTACTAACCATAAAAGGGCCAGGCACAGTGGTTCACCCCTGTAATCCCAGCACTTTGAGAGGCCGAGGTGGGTGGATCACTTGAGGTCAGGAGTTCGAGACAAGCCCAGCCAACATAACCAAACCCCATCTCTACCAAAAAATACAAAAATTAGTCAGGTATGGTGGTGCACACCTTTAAGTGCCAGCTACCCAGGAGGCTGAGGCATGAGAATAACTTGAACCTGGGAGGCAAAGGTTGCAGTGAGCCAAGATCATGCCATTGCACTCCTATCTGGGTGACAGGTAAGACCCTGTCTCAAAAAAAAAAAAAAGTACTAACCATCAAAGAAAATAAAATGACAACACAGACTTCATTGGAATTAAATTTTAGTTCACTTAAAGATTTCAATAAGTAAAAGTACAAGCCATAGGCTAGGAAAGAGTATTCACAATATCTATTTCCAAAGGACCCACATCCAGCATCAACATAGCAATCCATAAGAAAAAAATGAATATTCCAAGTTTTAAAAATAATAATGATGAATAAAAGACTGTAAATAGGCACTTCACACACACACAAAAAAAGATATACAAATCCTATTAAAATGTGCTTCCAGCCGAGTGGGGTGGCTCATGCCTGTAATCTCAGCACTTTGGGAGGCCAAGGCAGGTGGAGTATGAGGTCAGGAGTTTGAGACCAGCCTGACCAACATGGTGAAACCCCATCTCTACTAAAAATACAAAGATTAGCTGGGCATGGTGGCATGCACCTATAATCCCAGCTACTCAGGAGGCTGAGGCAGGAGAATCACTTGGGAGGCAGAGGTTGCAGTAAGCCAAGATCATGCCACTGGACTCCAGCCTGGGCAACAGAATGAGACTCCCTCTCAAAAAAAAAAAAAAAGATGCTTCCATATCATTGCTTAATAGCGAAATACGAATTAAAACCACAATAAAATACCACTACCTGCCCATCAGAATGGCTAAAATTTAAAAGACTGACAATATCAACTATGGGGCAGGGTATGGAACAACTAGAATTTTCACACCTTCTGATAGCACAAAATACTATAGCCACTTCAAAAAACTGTTTGGCAGTATCTACAGAAATTAAATATATCTGTGATCTGGCAATTCTACTCCTAGGTATACACCTAAGAGAAATGAACGCCTATGTCCACCAAAAATCATATATACAAAAATGTAGAGTTAGGCATGGTAGGTCACATGTGTAGTCCCAGCTACTTGGAGGGCTGAGGCAGGAAGATTACTTGAGCCCAGGAGTTCAAGCCCAACATGGACAATATTGCAAGACTCTACCTCAAAAACAGAAAGTTCATATCAGCTTTACTCAAAACAGTCCAAAAGCGGAAATCAAACGTCTATCAATAGTAAAGTGTTTGCCACTGCTAAGCTTTCTACATGTATTATTTAATCTTTCGAACCTCTCTGTGATAGAAATAATACTGCTCCATTTTAAAAAGAAGGAAATGGCCAGGCTCAGTGACTCACACCTGTAATCCCAGCACTTTGGGAGGCCAAGACAGGTGGATCACTTGAGGTCAGGAATTCAAGACCAGCCTGGCCAACATAGTGAAGCTTTGTCTCTACTAGAAATACAAAAAAAATAATACTTAGCCAGGTGTGGTGGCACACCTTGTGGTCCTAGCTTCTCCAGAGGCTGAGGGAGAACTGTTTGAACCCAGGAAGCAGAAGCTGCAGTGAGCTGTGATCGCGCCACTGCACTCCAGCCTGGGTGTCAGAGCAAGCAAGATAGTCTCAGAAAAAAAAAAAAGATGGAAATGAAGGCATATGGAGGTTCAGCATATTACCCAACAGATCCTAGAGATAAGCCCAAAAAAAGATCTTTAGGTGGTTGTGCTTTGCAGATCACTAGCAATAACTCAAAAAGTTTTAGAAGCAATTAATTCTATAGTTCAAAATTAAGCACTAACTAGTATTATACCTTCCCTATCAGAGTTTATCTACCAAAACACAAAGTTAATTAACTAATTTGAAATTCAGGCCAGGCACAGCATTCACACCTGTAATCCTAGCACTTAAAGAGGCTGAGATGGGAGGATTGCTTGAGGCCAGGTGTTCAAAACCAACTTTGCCAACATAGCGAGACCCTGTAAGGAAAGGACAGGGGAAAGGAAAAAAGGAATGAGGGGAGGGGAGGGGAGGGGAGGGGAGGGGAGGGGAGGGAAGGGGAGGGGAGGGAAGGGGCAAGAAAGCAAGAAAAAAATTCATTCAGGCCGGGCGTGGTGGCTCATGCCTGCAATCCCAGCACTTTGGGAGGCCAAGGTGGGCAGATCACCTGAGGTCTGGAGTTTGAGACAGCCTGGTCCAACATGGTGAAACCCTGTCTCTACTAAAAATACAAAAACTAGCCAGGCATGGTGGTGGGTGCCTGTAATCCCAGGTACTCCAGAGGCTGAGGGAGGAGAATTGCTTGAACCCGGGAGGTGGAGGTAGCAGTGAGCCGAGATAGCACCACTGCACACTCTAGGCTGGGTGACAGAGTGAAACTCTCTCTAAAAAAAAAAAAAAAGAAAAGAAAGAAATTCAGAGCTACTTAGTAGCTGTGGATTTAGGAGAAGTTTACAAAAAACTACCAGTGGGGCCTAAGGAATGAATAAAAAACGATTTCCCTAAGTGTGAGTATGTGTCACTGGTATTAAAGATGTTTGTAGGTAGTGAAAAGGACATATTAATTTTAGTAATTATGTATTTAATGTATACTTTAAAACAATAAATCTGTATTTTAATGAATTCTTGTTTAGAAGGAGGCTAAGCTTAAGAAGTCAATTTATTTAAGACAAGGTCTGGCTCTATCACCCACGCTGGAGTACAGCGGCACGATCTCAGCTCACTGCAACCTCTATCTCTTGGGCTCAAGACATCCTCCCACCTCAGCCTCCTGAGTAGCTGGGACTACAGGCATGCATCACCACACCCAGCTAATTTTTGTATTTTTTAGAGAGATGGGGTTTCACCATGTTGCCCAGGCCGGTCTCAAACTCCTGAGCTCAAATGATCCACCTGTCTCTCGGCCTCCCAAAGTGCTAGGATTACAGGCATGAGACACTCTACCCGGCCAAGAAGTCAATTTAAAGTAGACTTAAGGAGACATATTAAGTAAAGCTTAGTATTGACAGGCATACATGGCAAAATCACAAAGACAGTCCCACAGTGACTGTCTAACCAACACTGAGGGCTGCCCAACCACGGCAGACAAAATAGCTTGACTGCTGACTCTCTACCCTTTAAGCTACTGGAATAGCTGCTCACTTATTACATTTATATTATAAGATAACAACAGAAGGGTTCTTCGTGGGTTTTTTTGTTTTTGTTTTTGTTTTGAAGACAGTGCCTTGCTCTGGCACCCAGGCTGAAATGCAGTGGTGCAATCCTGGCTTACTGCAGCCTCAAACTCCTGGGTTCAAGCGATCCACCCACCTCAGCCGCCAGAGTAGCTGGGACCACAGGTGTGTGCCTCCATGCCTGGCTTTTTAATTTTTTTGTAGACATAGGAGTCTCATTATGTTGCCCACATTAGTCTCAAACTCCTGGGCTCCAGTGATCCTCTCACCTCAGCCTCCCCAAGTGTTGGAATGATAGGTGCGAGCCCCTGTGCCGGGCTTCTTCCTATTTTCTTAATTTTTTGCAGAATATTGGGAAACAAGTAATAAATATAGGTTAAATATCATGTTATCATTGTAATCAACGTATATTAATACTTCTCTTTCCTGTTATTGACCAGATTAAAAAGGAAACATTTCTATGAATAATATTTTAGGG